TGTGTGTGTGTGTGTGTGTGTGTGTGTGTGTGTGTGTGTGTGTGTGTTTGAGAGAGAGTGAGTAAGCAGGTAAGGGGCAGAGAGAGAGGGAGACAGAGGATCTGAAGAGGGCTTGAACTCACAGACCATGAGATCATGACCTGAGCTGAATCAGACACTTAACCACTGGGCCACCCAGGCAGCCCTGTGTATGTGTGTGTTTTACAGAGACTCTCGTCAGATCTTTAAGAAATGGAGAATCATTTGTCTCTCTTTCTTAATTGCTTTTTTCAGGATGATGCCCGGCAATTATTTGTTTTGGCTGGCAGTGCTGAAGAAGGAGTCATGACTCCAGAACTGGCAGGAGTGATTAAACGGTTATGGCGAGATGGTGGGGTGCAAGCTTGCTTCAGCAGATCCAGGGAGTATCAGCTTAATGATTCTGCTTCATAGTAAGTAATTTTTCCCTGTGAAACTATAACAGAAAATAATTTGGTGACCCTAACAAAGTTCATTGTCCATAAGGAAACATTTAAGTAACAGACACTCTTAGAAGTCTATAGTATCTCTTGTAAAGATGGTTTCAGTTTAGGGCTAAATAGCCCGTGGTCATTTTGTATGACTTGGAGAAAAATGTTTCCTCTTGAAATGTAAATGGGAGAATTGGCACGATGAAAAGTAACTCCGTGTTAGTTTATAATAAGTAAATGAAATAGAGAAATCTTTTGCAGCTGGATCTGGGATCTCTTCCAATGCAGTTTAAGTTCCCTCTGCATAAGGACTTTGCCAGCTAGTGAGGGAAATTAGAATAGTGATATCCCTTTTTATGCTCCCAGCTCTGTGACTGGGCTGCACTATGGATTTCTCTGGTACTAGTCATCACTTATAAATCTTTTGCCAGATCACAATAGTAGACTTTGTACAGAAAGAGAATGTTGAGTCTTGGAAGGAAGTCAAAGCATCTATTTGTCAAGGAAATTCTCTTAAATGTTACATATTTAGAGAATTTGTAATTGATACTTGTGCTAGGCTATTACATGCTGTCCTATTTTGCTTCTTTTACAATACATTTATTTATACGACCTGTATCCAGAATGTATTTTTTGAATGTGCCTTTTGGGGGCTTGGTGAGTTCTTGGTACCTGTATGCATTTCTGTATTAATTGAAGGCACTTCTGAGCATTAAGGTATTTTCTTCAATAATCTATTTTCATATTCTTCTAATTTGTTCTAGAAAGAAGTTAAATTAAAAATTTTTTAATGTTTATTTTTGAGAAAATGAGAGAGACACAGAGTGTGAGTTGGGGAGGGACAGAGAGAGAGGGAGACAGAATCCGAAGCAGGCTCCAGGCTGTGAGCTGTCAGCCCAGAGCCTGACACCGGGCTCGAACCCACAAACTGAGATCATGACCTGAGCTGAAGTTGGACCCTTAGCTGACTGAGCCACCCTGGCACCCTGAAAAAGTTAAATTATATTTGAAAAACTTAGTTATTATTTAAATGAAAACTTAACTTTAGAAACAAGGATCTTTTAATATGTTTTAGTTGCAAATGTTGGTAGTTTCAATAATTCTCGCAATAGTCATGAAAGGTAGATTGTAATTATTACCTTTTTTAAAAAAAAAATCATACTTCATTGAGCTCTGAATCGTCTAACTACACCAGAGAACATGTGATTTGTAGAGTTTTTTCCCCCCTGAGTTTTGGTTGAGGCTTGACTAATTCCTTAACATTAATAGTAGTACTTAGTTTTATAGAAGCTCGTTAATGATTCACTTATAATGGTGCCATCTGTTCTTCAGTTTTCTAGCCAAAAAAATCTTAAAATGTTTTTTCAACGTTTATTTTTATTTGAGAGACAGACAGTGTGCGAGCTGGGGAGGGGCAGAGAGAGAGGGAGAGAGAATTCCAAGCAGGCTCCAGGCTCTGTGCTGACAGCAGCAAGCCTGATGTGGGGCTTGAACTCACGAGCCATGTGTGAGATCATGACCTGAGCTGAAGTCGGATGCTTAACCAACTGAGCCACCCAGGCGCCCCTAGCCAAAAAATCTTTAGAAACCCTGAAATTACCAGAATTTTAATTTAGCTTTGAAGCAGTCTTTTAATTATTTCACTGAATACTTACAATTTGTTTTTGGACTTAGATTTTTAAGAAAACCACAAGTTTTCCATTTCATGAATGAAAACAGGAAATATGGAAAAATGGAAAATAGTTCTCATTTTAATTTTAGTAATGTAGACACCATTCTCTAATGTCCTATCAAACATCAGAGCCTACAAATGACCCATTAACTGTAAATGTCTGAGGGCTTTTGTTTTGGTTTTGTTTTCGTGCTGTGCAATGCGCAGTTGGTTCAGTATTTAGCATTAAATTTCAGGAATCTTTCTTTAATAAGAATAACATCTCGATATTTGTTTTTAATTGGCCCTCATAGTTTAGTTTTGGTAGAATTAAAACCACTTTTGTGTGGTATGTATAGAACTTTAATTGTTCTGTGCTAGGTTCATGCTTTTTCTCATGATGATTTCTGTGATACTGCAGGTCTGATTTTGTTCTGCCACTTTAGTGACAAGTTCAGAATCTACTTTTGGTAAGGAACGAGTTTATAGTTTAGTCTGTTGACTTGCTGTGCACGTGGTTGGCTTCACCAGGTAAAAATAAATGTATTTTTTATTTAGTTACCTAAATGATTTGGATAGAATATCCCAAACCAACTACATTCCAACTCAGCAAGATGTCCTGCGGACAAGAGTGAAGACCACAGGCATCGTGGAAACGCACTTCACCTTCAAAGACCTATACTTCAAGTAAGTCCTCAATTCTCCTTTTTGCTAGATGTGCCAAAGACAGATGTCTTTCCTTTAGTGAATCGCTTAATCAGGGTAAAATTTCTCTAGGCAATATTCTTTGGTTTAAAAACCTACCGTCACGTTCGTCAGCCAGTATTTGAATGTATTAACTGAATGGGGGCCCAAACCTTTCTTCTTTGTCCAGATAGCATCAAATATTTTTGTCCATTTGGAGGAATTTAAATTCAAAATTAAATTGTAAATATCAATAAAAGTAATCATATGGTTATCGGTTTATTTTATTTTTATTCTTTTCAGCTGCTTTTTTGTTGGAATCATCAAAACAGGTATTGAACGTTTGTCGTTTAGAAAGGTAACAACAATACTAAGTCTAGAAAACTAGTTTTTTGGCTTAGTCATGTGGCTTTGTTCTGCCATTTTGATATTAAAATAGAAATGCTTTACTCACCCATGTCAATCCTTCCTTACTGGAGTGCATTTCCCTTTAAGTTTAATGGAATGGAGCTGATACTGTCATGGCTCTTGGACTGCATTGTGCACAGTATCATGCACAACTGAGTTTTTAATGTAGTATAGAATGGAAAATCAATCTGGAGATAGAGGTATTTTGGGGAAGTATGATGATATAGAAAAAGTGGTTGTTTTAGAGAGAGAATTCTAGGATATGAATACAAAGGACTTTCTCATTAGCATTAGTTATTCTAAAATAGGCTTCAGCTTATCTGTGTGTTAATGGTCTTTTGTAAATATTAGAACTGTCTTTTTGGTTCCCACTTTCTGCTTTTGTGACCTTTGAGATTAGGAGTAAGCTTTTCTCCTTCAATATATGATGTTCTTTCCAGTTGCTTCATTATGCTTGTATGTAGCCTGTGATACTCAGCAGTGTCAAACGCAAATGTAACTTCTAGCTAGGAGCTTCTCAGTTTTTTTCTCTCTGAAAATATTTGCTTCGCAGGATTTGTGAAATCCACACGGAGTTTAGGTATTACTAGATTCCAGTGGAGGTCTTGAAATCTTTTTTTTTTTTTAATTTTTTTTTTTCAACGTTTTATTTATTTTTGGGACAGAGAGAGACAGAGCATGAACGGGGGAGGGGCAGAGAGAGAGGGAGACACAGAATCGGAAACAGGCTCCAGGCTCTGAGCCATCAGCCCAGAGCCTGACGCGGGGCTCGAACTCACGGACCGCGAGATCGTGACCTGGCTGAAGTCGGACGCTTAACCGACTGCGCCACCCAGGTGCCCCAAAATCTTAATAAACCAAAACAGGTTTGAAACATGGTGCAAAAAAATAGTAGTTCAGCTGAATATTGGTAGAATAGGAGAGCTACTTCTCTTTAGCACTGATGAATTTATCTAACTAGAGTAGCAAAGACCATATGGATTTATCTATCACCCATGAAGCCATAAGAATGAGATGCCTTTTGTGTACAGTAAGATTAGTAGTCCATTTATAATTAAATGCGGTGAACTTTATTTAGTGCGGGAAACATTCTTGTTGATGTCATGGATTGATCTTTAGTTGGGTAAATCCTGTTGGTCTTCTTATGTCAGGATCAGTAGCCAGGCTTCGTTAAGGTGCTGTACCCACTTAATTGTTGGCATGTAGATATCTTGTTATGAAGTACTATCACTTCTTCCTTTTCCTCTTCTCTCTAGGCAAAACCACTATCCATTCATTCAAACATTTATTGAGCATCTGCTATATGCAAGGCATTGTGTAATTGCTTACTTGCCTCTCAGTTATGAGGTAATGTTTATAAAATGTTCATCTGTTAGTAAATTATATTGTAAATGTTAATATGTACTAAAAGCCCACCTCGGGGACATCTTAATATTCTTCCAGTTTCATGGACTTTGTAGAAGAAAATGAAGGGGTAAGCTGAAATTATTGGTGTACCAGTGTGTCTCCCCTTGAGAGACTTTTATGGTGATATATATGATGTCCGCTTTCCTCAAACCTATAATATGACCCTGTATCAAAGCCAGCTTGTGATTGTATCATACCAGTTGTCATGACCAAAGGCTGGAAAAACAAACGAACAAAAAAAGGTGCTAAATCAACCAAAAGAAAAGGCTGAGTCATGAAGAGATAATATGATTGTTCTTTTCAAACGTACATTGAGAAATTACTCAGTGATGTCTTATTTCTCTCAATTTCTCGGGGAAAATTCTTTGGAAATAGACCCCTCGTCACCACTGTCGATCTTGACATACTAAACCTACCTGCATACCTCCTCAGACACTGGTACCAGCTAACAAAGCACTGCAGGTGTTCCCCTTACTGTAGGAAGTAGATGAGGATGCTGTTGACAGAAGTACAGCAGTTGAGCCAGGATATTAAGTAAGCCCCCCAAAAGGGAGTGATGGAATGAAACTCATCTGGAGTGGAACATAAAGTTTGTCAACAGCTTAGTTAGCTTTAGATGAGACCTAAGAGTTCGGAGACACTGGCTAAATAAGTTTGGTTTTTAGATATTGGGTTCTTAGAGTCCTACCCTGAAATACAATTTACCTTCTCCATAATTAATCTCTAAAATATTTTTTCCTTAAAATAAGGAACCTCAGCTTTAAAAAAACCTCAGCTTTAAACCTCGGCTTTAAAAAAGGAAGAATTTTTTTTTTACAAAGTAAGGGAAACATTTTGGAAGCAGAATGCAAGTTAGAGATTTCTAGTTTTTCAGTGTTCTCTTTAAAGAGTAAACCATTTCGAGAGGTAGAGTGGTGGTGTGGGTAAGAGCCAGGGCGCCGGAGTTAGAGTGCCTGGGTTCAGAGCCCCAGTCCCCATTTGTTAGTAGTGTGCCCTTGGGCAAATTACTTAACATATCTGTGCACTGGAGATAATAATTGTATTTACAGGAGTGTTGTGAGGGTCAAATGAGTTAATGCACTTAAGATGTTTAGGATTGTATCTGGCACCATGGTAAATGGTAAATATTAGTTATTCTTGCTGTTATCTTAAGTTATATTATTCAGCTCTTCATTTTTCCTGTCTTTTTTTCCCCGTCTTCCTTTAATCCATTTCAGTGCTTATTCTGCTGATTTTTGAGATATAATTTCATCTGATATAAGCTTTGATAGAGAAGGCTCAGCTAGTTATTTACAATGAGAATTTTGATTATCCCTAGATTTTATTTGCTCATGTTATTCTCTTTTGACCATGGATTATTAGTTTGACTACATTTTATCTGCTGCTTGTTTGTCTTTTCTGTTGTAAATGGGGTGTTCCACATGCAATAGTGGGAGGTTCCCTAACCATTTCAGTTTAGGGAGAGGTGTGTTTGTGACCTTGCTGAATTTGTGCTTTCTTTCCCTTTACTTCAGGATGTTTGATGTAGGTGGCCAGAGATCAGAACGCAAAAAGTGGATTCACTGTTTTGAGGGAGTGACAGCAATTATCTTCTGTGTGGCCCTCAGTGATTATGACCTTGTTCTGGCTGAGGATGAGGAGATGGTATGTTGGGTCTTCTGGTAAAAAGGCAGTCTAATGCAGCCAGGAAATGGAAAATAACTTAGGAAGATTCAGTGCATACATTTGCTCGTTGGACCAAAACTTGATTCCTTAATTTTTTTCCTGTCAGTGGGTTTAGAATTTTAAAATACTGATCCATGCTCTATTAATTCTTAAGAGATATGACAGCACACTGAGTATGTGGGCAGGATTAAGTGCTCTTGGTAGCCATTCTTCTTCCCATCTCCCAACCTCCAAGAATTACAAAAATGAGGACTGGATTAACTTTTGAGTTGTCAGTCTCTGGTTTATTTCCACGAATGCCATTCAGTGCTTGTAAAACTTGTTGGTCTGTTTTTTCATTAACAGTTAATCCACTTTTGCTTTCTGTTACTGACATCCTTTTTTTCCCCCCTCAGAACCGAATGCATGAAAGCATGAAACTGTTTGACAGCATTTGTAACAACAAATGGTTTACAGACACTTCAATCATTCTCTTCCTCAACAAGAAAGATCTTTTTGAGGAAAAAATAAAGAGGAGTCCATTAACTATCTGTTATCCAGAATACACGGGTAAGAGATCATGAACGATTTTGTTCACACTTCAGTGGCATTCCTATACCTGCCTTTTTATTTTAAACAATGCATGTATAACCTTATGGAGAGTGTTCACTGGTAGTGATATTAACATTAAGCATGTGATTGAGACCAGTTAAGTCTAAAGTGCTGTTCCTGACATAATTGAGTTTACTGTGTTTATTTTATATTTCTGTCTTCCTCACTGTTTGAGGAAAATAGAGAAAAATAAAAATCAAAATTTGGTGTAAGTATGTTAAAAAAATACGAGAAGATGCAGTCATTGCACTCAAGACACAGTAGTTGTAGAGAGAGGGGCACACATAAAGAATTTCATTATAGTATGAAATGCTCATTAACAGAAGACGTGGTTACTGCTGTGGGTTCAGTGTCCTCTTTTTGCCAGAGGAAATGACACTTGGAGTGAGATAACGAGAGGATGAATTAGAAATGATGAGGTAGACTGAGGAATAAAAGCATTTTAGGAAGAAGGAATAACCTGTAGGAAAATATGGAGGTTTAAAAAAAAAAAAAAAAAAGACATGATACATTTTGGAACCTAGAAGGAATTTGGTATTGTCAGAGCTTAAAGTGGTGGGAGGGAGTTGTTGAAGTGATAGGTGGGATGCTCACGGAGGGCTTTGTATTTCATACTGAGATGGGGCAAGCTGTCCAAGGATTTTGATTCGGATACATGATGTAGGAGAAACTGCTTTAGAAAGATGATACAGGGGAGCTTGGATGGCTCAGTTGGTTAAGCATCTGACTTCGGCTCAGGTCATGATCTCATGATTCGTGGGTTTGAGCCCCACATCGGGCTCTGTGCTGACAGCTCGGAGCCTGGAGCCTGCTTTGTATTCTGTGTCTCCCTCTCTCTCTGCCCCTCCCCACTCTCACTCTGTCTCTCAAAAGTAAACATTAAAAAAATTTTTTTTAATTTAAAAAGAATAAAGCATAAAAATATGAAAAAGAAAAGAAAGATGATATAATAAATGGCAATAAAGATGGGTAGTAGGGGAGTTGAATTAGTAAGGAGTCCCTTAGGATGCAAATAAAAACTTAAGGTGAAGATACAGGGATATATCATAGAAGCCAAGGGCAAGAACGCAGATGTATCTTAAGAATGCATTTAGAACTAGGAAATGGAAAAGTGTCAGGGATCCTGGAAGTACTTCTTTCCCCATCTTTTCTCTCCTTCTGTGTATCTTCTTTATTTTTCTCTGCTTACCAACTTTCTGTGCTACTCAGTTTATGTGATATAAGATGGCCCTGCCATGGTCTTTCTCCTGCAGTTAGGTATGTATGTATGTATGTATGTTTATTTTGAGAGAGAGACACACACAGAAAGAGAGAAGGAATACCAAGCAGGATCCATGCTCAGCGTGGAGCTGACATGGGGCTTGATCCCACCACCATCACAAGATCATGCCCTGGGCCAATTTCAGGAGTCGGGCACTTAACCATCTGAACTACTACCCAGGCACCCTTTTCTCCTGCATTTAAAAGGTAAGGCTCGGGCACACGGCTGGCTCATTTGGTAGAGCATGTGACTTTTTTTTTTTTTTTTTTTAATTTTTTTTTTTTCAACGTTTATTTATTTTTGGGACAGAGAGAGACAGAGCATGAACGGGGGAGGGGCAGAGAGAGAGGGAGACACAGAATCGGAAACAGGATCCAGGCTCTGAGCCATCAGCCCAGAGCCTGACGCGGGGCTCGAACTCACAGACCGCGAGATCGTGACCTGGCTGAAGTCGGACGCTTAACCGACTGCGCCACCCAGGCGCCCCGAGCATGTGACTTTTGATCTCAGGGTTGTAAGTATGACCCCATGTTGGGTGGAGAGATTACTTAGAAATAAAATCTTAAAAACAATTTTTTTTTTAAAAATAAAAGACCAGGCTAAACTCATAATGGTTGGCCCCATGTTCAAATTCCTAGGGGACAGATTCTGGCCAAGGTTAAGCCAGGTAAAAATACTTAGCCTAGTTAATGTCAGGGATGCAAACACGAATGCCAGGGCTGCACCACTATAACCTTTAGATCAGAATTGGATATTTTCAGAGAAGGAGAACCTTTTTTTTTTTTAGCTGAGCAGACACTGTAAATGCTTTCTGTAATAAAGTGAAGAGGGTAGCTAAGGTAAAGAAGCCAGAAGAGTCAAAGGTACTCCCAGAGTTCTGTCTTGATTGGCTGCTGGTGCTGTGGTCTCTAATTGATATTTAGGAATATTGATTTTGAAGTATCTGAAGAACATCCAGATGGGGGTATCTAATAGGCAGGTGTATATGTGGCCTTGGAGTTTTGGGAGAGATTGGGGGTTAGATATATTGATTTGAGATCATGTATAAATACAGCATGGAAATGGATCAGATGACATGGGGTGATGATATAGAATGAAAACAGAAAAGGACCATGGATAGAATGAGAGAGAATTTCAGACTTTTTTGGCAGGAGAGAAAGAAAGGTTTGTATTAGGTATAAAGACGAGAACCAGGAGAGCCAAGGTATCAAAAGCTAGGAGTTTAAGAAGTGAGTGAGGGGTGGTCAACAATGTTGTGTACAAAGTAAGATACACATTGAAAAATGGCCTCTGGAGTTAGCGGTCCAGGAGATCGTGAATGTTACTGAGAGCAGTGTCAGTAAGAGTAGAGCCAGGACAGTGAGTTACTGAGTGGGAAGTGGAGAAATGAAGATAGGTATAGCCTACTGTAACTTGGATTACAGGGGAAGAAAAGATTTAAGAATGTTCATAAGCTTGGAGGTAAGATTTTATAGCAGAAGAGAAGTTGTAAAAATAGGATGTAATTGATGGAGCAAGATTTGTAAGCAGGTGGGAAAGGAAGGAATCAAGGAATTCCATACAATGGAATTATTATTATTATTATTATTATTCAGCCATAAAAAGGAATGAAGTACTGATACATGCTACAACTTATACGAACCTCATAAACATTATGCCAAGTGAAAGGAACCAAACACAACAGGTCACATTTGTGTGATTGTTTTGTGTGATATTCCCCAAATAGACAAATCCGTAGAGACAGCAGATTGGTTGGTGGTTACCAGGAGATGGGGGGAGGTACTGTGGGGAGAATTAGGAATGATTACTTATTGGGAATGGGTTGTTTTTCTGGGTTGGTGAAGACGTTTTGAAACTAGAGAGAGAAGGTGGTTGCATAACATTGTGAATACATTATGCCACTGTATTGTGCACTTTTATGTAAATTTCACCTCAACTTAAAAATCTTGGTAGAGCAGTTAAATTTTGAACCAGAAGGGAGACCTCTCTAAGACCAAAGGTATAAATAAGTGGAGATACAGGTAACTTTTTTAAGTAAGGTGGTGGGCTAAAAAGTTGAGATGTAGCGTAAGCCCCCTGGCCTTTCTTTTCTCTGGGAATTTGCAAATGTAGTCAGAATCAGGAGAGAGGTGAGTAGAAAAGTAGCCAGGTTTTAAGGTGGAGAGAAATCTTAAGTCGAAGGATTGACAGTGTTCTAGCTGAAAATCTTCCACATAGCAAAGAGCCCTCAATATCATAGCTTTTTTTTTTTTTTTTTGGTGAACTTGTAAGCCTGTCTTGCACTGGCTTCATTCTTCTTAAGAAGTCTCACGGTCCTCATTTCCCAAGTGTCAGTATCTGTTCTACCAGCCAGAATTCGCTTTTCAGTCCCCCTCTCTCCTTTAATATACAGAAGTTCTGCAGATCTCATGAAACCTATTTCAAGCACCTACCAAGCGGTCTTCCTTTATTTCTTTAAATATTCTGTTTAAATAACATTCCTTTCTTGTTGGTATTTGTTGCTGTGTCTAATGTCACTTAATTTCACAAATGTTATTTGTGGAAAACAGCCTCTGGTTTACAAGAATAAAGTATTGTGTTTTTGTTGTTGAGTTTTTCCGGTTCTGTAGTCAGTTTCTAGGGCAATTCTAAAGGCTCACGGGCAGTTAAGATGGTGTAGAAGCGTGTGGGTAAGTGATAAGAGTTGAAAATAAGGTTTTCTTTTGAGCCCCCTCCCCTTTAAAAAATGACAGCTTAATTGAGATAAGTTAATAATTTATATGCCACAGAAGCACATTTTAAAGGGCATAATTCAGGCCCCTTTCCCTTCACATGTACTAGTTTACCTTTCATTAAATTATTGCCATAAGGCTCTGAAGCTAAGCTTCCTTAAAACTGGTATGATTTTGAAAAGAAGCATGACTATTTTGAATTGTTTATGTCAAGATCACTCCAAGGAGCACAGGCTGTCTGACCTTTTCAACAGTTGTGTCCTAGCAACGCATCTTCCTACTTCCCCTAGTTTCCTTTTGTACATTTTTGGTTTTTTAGCTGAAAAGTCTAAATAAAAGGGGAAAAAGGAAAAGGCTCGTTTCCCTAGATCTTTTCGTGTGATGATTTTGTTTTACTTAGAGTCTGCTCTCAAGAAAGCCTAACGATTATAGAATTAAAGAAATCTGTCTATATGCATTTGGGTTATTCCCTCTCTTCATCAGTCAGTGGGGATGGCCTGACTTAGTTGAGTTCAGGCAGCTATTATAATTTAAACTGAGAATATTGAGTGTCTGCTTCAGGTTCCAATACATATGAAGAAGCAGCTGCTTATATTCAGTGCCAGTTTGAAGATCTGAACAGAAGAAAAGACACCAAGGAGATCTATACTCACTTCACCTGTGCCACAGACACCAAGAATGTGCAGTTTGTTTTTGATGCTGTTACAGATGTCATCATTAAAAACAACTTAAAGGAATGTGGACTTTACTGAAGAGGGTTGGAGATTAATGAAAGGTAAAACTTCAGACAGTTTAGTTATAGTGCTCTAGTGATGTCTCTGGACTTTGTAAACTATTCTAATTAAGAATGTTCTTCTTTTCTAGTTATTACAGTGTGGAGTGTTGAGACCAGACTTCTTTTGCTGTCTCATTGGGCAGCTGCAAGCATGAACGGGACCAGGGAATGGCAGCAGCATGCAGAATCTTAGCACTCTTTAGCACAATCTTCTGTATTAGGGAACTCTTAATTGACATGAGATGCTAAAGTCAGACATTGGAATTGGAACGACTGTATAAAGTATGATTCGATCATCAAGACATCACTTGGATTTCATAATCTCAAATGTTTAGGGCCGATGTGAAGTTGAGGTGCTGCATTCCAGAACTTTAATATGTAGCTTACTCTTTTTTTTCCTTCTTAACAAACCACCACTAGTTCATTTTTAAAGTTTTTTTTTCATCAAGAGAATAATGTTACTAAATTTTATTTCTTTGTTTGCAAGAGAATCTTTATTAAAACACAATCTTAACTATGCACATGATGTGACCAGATCATCTTGAAAATACTCCTCTTAGTAGGAGCTCTTTGTTTTTAACTTTTGGTATGGTCAGAACATCGTATTTCCATAATTACTTAATTCTTTATGGTTATTGGGGCTATGACTATAGCTTTTTTGGATGAAATTTATGTTACTCTCCTGCTCAAAGTACCATCATGGTTTTTAAGTGGTAATTACATTGGAGAGTTCTGTAATAAGATTCTCACTCTCTAACTTTTGTTTAAGTTTATGGTTTAAGGTTAACCTGGTTTATGCTGATTACCAAATTACTAGGTAAATGCTGATGTAGGATGTAAAGTTAGTTTCTTGGATACGGACACACCCAGGGCAGCTGTCAATTAGAAATGCAAATTGCAAAATTCCAAACAGAAACCGTGACTTTGCTGCTACATACCTACTAAATTGACCACTTTGGTTCTTGCTTGTTTGTCTCAGTCATAGGGAGTTCTGTAAAAGATGCCCCTTGTTTTCCATCTTCCATGGCCTTTTCTGTTGGGAAACATCTAAAGTGTATTAACAGTGCATGCTTTTACTTTGTAAATGTGGTGCCAAATCCCTGTTTGCCATTGTTTTTATTGTAGCAATGTTAATTGTAGTAATCCTTAGTCAGTACCTTCTTTTGCCGAAACTCCTGCATTTTGGGACTTTTTCCACTATGTTGTATGTACAGATTTTAATCTGTTATAGTTGGCAGCAGTATTAAAATGGTGAGTAAAGAGTCCAGGTTTGTTCCTGTTTGTAATTAGTTCTTTCTGGAAATATTTTCTTCTGTTTCTTTTTGTTCCTGCTGAATGTGCTTTGGCCTTTGTCTGAGAGTGGGTTTAGGTAGAGGGTTCCCTGAAGGTCTAGTCTTTTGGTGTAGTAGTATTGTTTTATTTTGGCCTGACTGAGGGTCTTATGTCATATCTGTGTCAGTGACATGCAGTCATAATCCATTTTCCGGGTTTACATTTTGGTTTTGTGGAGAGCTTTATTCACCTCGGCCTGTAGGTCCTTTTGTATAATGTACAGCAAATGTCTTTAAATATTGAATGGGCCTTTGGGGGAAGGCAGATGAAGAGAATGTATTGTGAGCATTCCAAATCAGCAGTTTGAGCAGTGCCTTTGAGGTCCAGTCTTTTCAGATTGGATTCTATGTCATCTTTTGATGTGACCTTTTACTAGTTTAAAAAAAAAAGAAAAAGGAATGATGGTCAGCAAAGCTAATTCAGAAAGCAAGCCGCAGCACTTCAGTGCCTTTATTGGAATTTTTTTTCTTACTCTTTTTGGAAAAGTATAACTATGCAGATGCTATAGCGGTACTATCTAAACAATTTCTTTAGGGCTGGGAAAACTGCATCTAAAAGAAAGAAAATGATCAGCTTCGATTGGTGATTAGTTTATACCCACAATGTAGATAGGACCGATAGTTCCTGTTCATTTTGAATAATCTTTCCCTTATTGTATTTTGTGATCTAGAATCATCTGGAAATGAGAACTCGTGGAATATCGTTTTAACTGTAGTCTTTCTATAGTCAGGGCTAATGGGATGGTGTTGATAATCCAAAATAACAAATAATCTGAATGCGTTAATTTTACTTTGAAATGCACCTTGTATTTTCATTTGAATATGTCTATCTGATATGTTCATTTTTTAGCTTTTCTGTTAATGAAAAAATAGTAATTCTCTGATTTTTTTGCCCCCATACCATTTACATTTTTCTTTATTTACATGAAGATCACCCCCTACCCTACCATCCCAAGTAATTTGTCTAAATGCACATTCCTGGAGGACACAGGGACACAATTCAAGTCATTGGTTTTCAGATATGCCTTAAGTCAAAATCACCTGGATCCATTTCAGAGATTGACTCTTGGCTGGTGGGCCTAGTGATCTATCATTTTAAAAAGGTGATTCTTATCAGCTTTGCAAATCACTGTTGTGTTTTGAAATAAAAGATCTTTTCTAATAGCAGAGCCAGAGTGTGGGGGTGAAACATCATGTGTACTAGCCTGGAGAAAAAAGGATTGGTATTTGTAATCAAAGAAACTAAAAGTTGCTTTGTGTCTTTTCTGTGGAGAATGCTGGAGGTTTGTGATGGACTGCATTTCAGTATTCATGTGGCCAGGCTTTGGACCATCTGAGAAACCAGCACATCTAAGAAAATTAAATTTTAATGAATAAAGAACAGTAAATAGACCCTCGTAGGAAGGACTGGAACAATAGCTTTATTTTGCTGTTTATTTTGTTCCATCTTCACCTGATTAAAACCTTGGGCTGTAGAAATGCCATTCATTAGGCTCTATTTAAAGAGGATATAGTCTCCTTAAAGGCCAGTCTTGCCCGACCTTACAAACTCAGCCTTGCAGCAGATTTCACCTTCTGGCACGAAAATTCCAAAAACTTTTACAGTTATTTATAAGCAGATCTTGGGATGACATTTCATCTTAGACAGTTTAAATTCTAAGTCTCTAGTTCAGTGTGTCATTTTATTATTGTTTCCAATGACGGATTGTTATTTTTTATAAAGTGCTGCATTCTAAGAATAGATGGACCAAATTTTAAAAACTATTTTCTTGCCTTGTTTCTTCTTCTTTTATGTGTTCTATTTGTGTTTTATTATATACACATTTTAGAGCATTTAAAGATAACTGCTGGTTCTTCTAATTCATTTGCCCACCTTATATTCTTATATCCTGGCCACTGTCCTATTTGTAGCTGTGACTTTCTTTGTACATTGCTTGTCTAGCCTGACTAGTTGTTTCATATATTTATACATTTGTTTAGCATAGCTCTGGAGAATCGCGTTGCATAGCTTGTTGCTGTATTGGCAGTTACATATAAGGTAGTCTTTCATTCCCATTAAAAACCTCCCTTTGGTTGATCTTTTTTACCCCTTTCAGATGTTCAAATGTTTATTTATTTTGAGAGAGAGAGCGCGAGTGTGCGTGTGTGTAAGGGGCAGAGAGAGAGACCCAAGCAGGCTCCACGTGTTAGCACAGAGCCCAATGCAGGGCTCGATCTCATGAGTCATGAGATCAGGATCCGAGCCAAAATCAAGAGTAGGATGCTTAACCAACTGAGCCACTCAGGTGCCCGTCGCCTTCCAGATGTTCAAAAAACCCACAGTCCTTTACTCATTTAAATATAACTAAAACAGCACTAATTTTCTTCACTCTTACCACTTAATGAAATCTTTCATATCTTATACTGACTTTAATTTTTTTTTAATGTTTATTTTTGAGAGAGAGAGCATGCGTGCGCGTGAGTTGGGGAGGGGGCAGAGAGAGAGGGAGACACAGAACCTGGAACAGCTCCAGGCTTTGAGCTGTCTGCACAGAACCTGCTGTAGGACTTGACTCCACAAACCGTGAGATCACAACCTGATCTGAAGTTGAACGCTCAACTGACTGAGCCACCCAGGTGCTCCTCTTATACTAACTTTAAGAACAAGGTTATTTCAGTTTCCTAGTACTGCCAGCTCATTCTCCAGGCTTCACAGTACAAGTCAGAGATCTGACCTGGACCAGCCACAACTCTCCACATAGCTTTATGGCTGTCTAAGCACAAGAGAAAACCAGGCTGCTTAGGGGCCTGAAATCAAAAGTTGATCTTGTTAGCAGTTAGTTAGCTTGTTAGCAGCTAGTTAGCAGGAAGTAAAAGATTTAGGTGAGGTACAAGGAATGAACTTCCTGGATGGTCAAGATCTGTGTTCCTTTACCTTTGTGTAAGTTTTAACCCCCCGCCCCCATTTTCTCATAACTTATATGAATTACTTCTGCTAGGAGAACATACTCCAGAACAAGTCGGGACAGTACAGTTTTTTCTGATACTGTGTCAGACTTACATACCTGGCTCAACTCCAGTCTTCTTAGGAGTGAGAGATAATAAAGAAGGTTATATGGTAGTAGATACCTGAGGTGTAAGATTAACATACAGATTCCCTGGCTAAACTCTACTGAATTAAGTCTACTGGTCTTGGGAACATGTATTTTTAATTTTTTTTTTTTTAACGTTTATTTATTTTTGAGACAGAGAGAGACAGAGCATGAACGGGGGAGGGGCAGAGAGAGAGGGAGACACAGAATCGGAAGCAGGCTCCAGGCTCTGAGCCATCAGCCCAGAGCCCAATGCGGGGCTCAAACTCACGGACTCACGGACCATGAGATCGTGACCTGAGCTGAAGTCGGACGCTTAACCTACTGAGCCACCCAGGCGCCCTGGGAACATGTATTTTTAAATACATTTTTCAGGTGGTTCTGATGAAGCTAACCAGGGCCAACATTTGGGGGATAACTGAATAGGACCCGATGTTAAAGATCAACACAAACAGTAGACAGATTTAACCTTAAAAAATCACTAGTAAACGACTGAGGCATTTTTTATTTGCCAAGGAATCAGAAGCACCTTTTGTATGTGACTTAGAGTGCCGTCCACCCAAAAAATTAGTATGAGAACTGTTAAGTCAAAGAACATTCTTACACTTTTGATACAGAGTATTTAATCTTTATACATAATTAAGACAAAACACTTGAAGTTTCCAAACATTGGTTTAATTTTTTTTTACTGCATTTATTCAGTGAAAATGGAAAGCTACCTCAAAGTAAAGACAAAATCCTGTGACAGAGGTCTAACTATATATATGAAATAACATGAATATTCATTTACAGTTGGTGGATAAAGAGCAAAGCTAACTAGCTCTAAATTACAGACTGGAAAGTCCTTTTGAAACAAGGCTAGGGAAAAGATAAATAAGAGGACTGTTTGAGCAGCCAAATAGAAGACTCTTATGTATGTTTGCTGCTAACCCCGTGTTCTCTTCCTGAAAGCTAGTGGAAATCAACAAGGTAGCAGAAATCATCCAATATTAGCAAATAACACTGCTGGGATACACCGTCTCAGTGTATTAGCATTCAGATGTAAGATCTTTGACAGCTGGAATATTAAATTTTGTACAATGTGGCTTATCTCCTATCCTCTACTACCCCCCACCCCACCAACCTCGCCTCCTGCCCTCATACTCCTTTCAGTTATCCAAACATTTTTACCTAGAGGCTTGTTTAAATGTAAGAGAGATTCCCAGTACACATAACAAATCACAAGAAATTACCTGTTCTTTCTATTCTTCCTAACTGTTCATCTGTGCTCATGGAGGATAAAGGTCCTGAGATCTCTCAGAATCTTATGGAGAGTTGTTTGTCACTCTGGATTCTGGTCTTTTCCCTGCTTCCAATCATCTATGAAATCTCTGTCTTAACATCTCTCATCTGTTATTTAAAGTTGGACTAAATTATTCCTTCCAGCTATGACATTCTGTAATCCTGAGGCAATCGAAACAACATTTAAAAGTGCTTTTGTAAATATTCTTTATGATACTCAAGATTATACTATACTGCAAAACAAGTAATCTTATAAGGCAGTTCCAACAGTTGTATTCATTGTAGCTGGCCGTCTTTTTCAGCATCACTTTTCCCATATTCATTTTGAACACCTGAAATGAAGTTCAACTGTAAATTTCTCTAAAATTTGTGCAGCTGGGTAAAAACAAAGGTCTTTGTTTTGCATTTAAATTCAGTTCTTTATTTCTGTTCATACTAGTGCTTGCCTTTTCATGGCCAGATGGCAGAAAAGTTCCCTTTTGCAGTCTGCACTATGTCTGACCTCACAGAGATGTCTTCATGCTTTTACCTAGCAGGATCACCAGAAGCCCTGGCACACTTGCAATCCCTGGGCCAACACTGAAGCCTGCTGGAATCTGTGCTCCGGGGGCTGTGCCGGGTAGAGAGGGCAGTGGGAGGTAAGAGCTCTTCACCCTTCACCACCTTCTCCACCCAGCATGGCCAGCACACTTTGGTCTACGGCACATCTCCAGTTATAGAGTGGGTTCTCAATGCTGTTATTTCTTACCTTGGGAATGGGGCTACCCTGATTTGGACTATTTGGGGTACATGTTGCGTGAATTTTTTTTTTTTTTTATCAGAGTAGGAAGTGTTACAAGTAAGTGTCTTTTATATTGCTTTTAAGACTGAATTTTTGTGCTGCTTTTATCCACAGAATGTAAAAGCACAGCTCCGATTCTATTGTATTCTTTCCATTATATTTTTATTGTGGTAAACTATACATAACATAAACTTTACCATCTTAATCATTTTTAAGTACATAGTTCAGTGGCACTAAGCACATTCACATTGTTGCGCAAACTGTCACCACTGCCCATCTCCAGAACTTTTTCATCTTCCCAAACTGAAACTCTGTATCCATTGAACACTAACTCCCCATTCCCTTCTCCTCCCAGCCCCTGGGAATGTAAGTGCAATCGTATAGTATTTGTCCTTTTGTGTTAATTGTACTGTATTTTTGTAAAAAAGATAAAGAAAAGCAACTGTCATCAGATCTACAAGAAGTGGAACATACTTCACATTTGCCTTACTGTCATCAGTGGCTAAATGCGCTGCAAGGGAACTACATTAAGATCTCTGCCCTTTAAGGATATGAATGGGATATTAATTACACCTTCACCGAACAAACTTAAAGTTATTTATATTTTTGTTATTTTATGCTAATTTCACATTCCACTTTGAGACTGATTTGTATTCAGTTTGGAGATGATTTTGTTAAATATGGTTTAGAGATGTCATAATTTAAAAATAACCAAGAATTTGGGAGTGGGAGGAGCTTAGGGAAATGAGAAAATTGACTGAATAGTGTGGTGTATGGTGGGCTTTCAGTAGCATGGTACATATATAGAACGCTGGCTTGGGATTCAGGAGACCTATTTTGGAGTTCTAGTTCTGCTACTTCCTAGCAGTTTGATCTTGATGAAGACACTCCTTCTCCCTGGGCCTCAGTTTCTTATCTATAAATTACTAGTGATGGGCCTGGACTATTTTAAACTTCCTTCTAGCTTTACCATTTTAAGAATTAAGATTGCAGTTCATGAAAATCAGGTCGAATTGTTTCTGACCTACCTTGTTACAAGAAAGAATTTCTGATGATAAAATTCAACATTATAGTGTAAATTTAAAAGGAAGCAAAAGAAGACAAAGACAGCAGAGTGAGTAGAGTACCAGAAGACCAGGCCCATTGGCTATTTTCATGCTTGGACTATAGGGCCGGTTGTATATGAACATCCATAACCAAGAAGCCTAGGGTAGGCTTTTATAGTTTGGCCTCTAACCAAGTCCTGCTTAGAGTCAGAGCAAGGAGAAGATAATAAAAGAAGTAAACAATCTGATACAATTTGTGGGGAAGTTGGGCTACCCTATCTGAAGATCGGATAAGTGAGATAAATTAGATTTGGGGCCTGAATAGACAGGATCTTAGCCGGAGTGAGGATTCTTAACCTGGGACTTCAGGGCTCCAAAGGTAGAATTTATTCCTAGTATGTTGGTTTCCCTTATAATTTTATGCATTTTTAAATATCCTGAGAAGAGGTCTATAGGTTTCGTCAGACTGTTGGAGGGATCCATCATGCAAAAAAAGGCTCGTAACCCCTGTATATGGAGTTAAAGCAAAACAGGTTAGTGATAGTTGAAATATGCCATTTAGAAACAGTCCCTGAACAGAGCTCT